GATGGGGGTGGAGACGCTCCTTCAGATATACTGGACCAAGGCCATTTAGGGCTTTAAAGGTCAGCACCAACACTTTGAATTGTGCTCAGAAACGTACTGGGAGCCAATGTAGGTCTTTCAAGACCGGTGTTATGTGGTCTCTGCGGCCGCTCCCAGTCACCAGTCTAGCTGCCGCGTTCTGGATTAGTTGTAGTTTCCGGGTCACCTTCAAAGGTAGCCCCACGTAGAGCGCATTGCAGTAATCCAAGCGGGAGATAACCAGAGCATGCACCACTCTGGCGAGGCAGTCCTCAGGCAGATAGGGTCTCAGCCTGCGTACCAGATGGAGCTGGTAAACAGCTGCCCTGGACACAGATTTGACCTGTGCCTCCATGGACAGCTGTGAGTCCAAATTGACTCCCAGGCTGCGCACCTGGTCCTTCAGGGGCACAGTTACCCCATTCAGGACCAGGGAATCCTCCACACCTGCCCGCCTCCTGTCCCCCAAAAACAGTACTTCTGTCTTGTCAGGATTCAACCTCAATCTGTTAGCCGCCATCCAACCTCCAACTGCCTCCAGGCACGCACACAGGACCTTCACTGCCTTCACTGGTTCTGATTTGAAAGAGAGGTAGAGCTGGGTATCATCCGCATACTGATGAACACCCAGCCCAAATCCCCTGATGATCTCTCCCAGCGGCTTCATGTAGATGTTGAAAAGCATGGGGAGAGGACAGAACCCTGAGGCACCCCACAAGTGAGGGCCTAGGGGTCTGAACACTCATCCCCACCACCACTTTCTGAACACGGCCCAGGAGGAAGGAGCGGAACCACTGTATAACAGTGCCCCCAGCTCCCAGCCCCTCAAGACGGTCCAGAAGGATGTTATGGTCGATGGTATCAAATGCCGCTGAGAGATCCAGCAAAACTAGGAAACAGCTCTCACCTTTGTCCCTAGCCCGCCGGAGATCATCAACCAGTGCGACCAAGGCAGTTTCAGTCCCATGATGAGGCCTGAATCCCGACTGGAAGGGATCCAAATGGTCCGCTTCTTCCAGGCGTGCCTGGAGTTGTTCAGCAACCACTTGCTCAATCACCTTGCCCAAGAATGGAAGATTTGAGACTGGGCAATAGTTGGCTATCGTGGCCGCATGTAAAGATGGTTTTTAAAGAAGCGGTTTAATAACCGCCTCTTTCAGCGGGTCTGGGAAGGCTCCCTCACGGAGGGAAGCATTCACCACCCCACGAAGCCCATCGCCCAGTCCTTCCCGGCTAGCTTTTATAAGCCAGGATGGGCAAGGATCAAGGAGGCAAGTGGTTGGTTTCACTCGTCCAAGCAGCCTGTCCACATCCTCGGGGGTAACAGATTGGAAATGATCCCACACAACTTGACTAGACAGGACTCTAGCACTCTCCCGCCCCCGGCCCGGCGCCCCCGGGGGCGGCTACCGCGTCGCGAATCTGAGCGACTTGATCTGCCAAAAACTTTGCAAAGTCATTGCAGGAGATCATGTGGCCCCTACTGGGCCCTGATGGAGCAGGTGGTTCCGCTAAATTGCGAACCACCTGAAAGAGTCTCCTGCTGCTGTTTTCCGCAGATGCAATAGAGGCGGTGAAGAAAGTCTTCTTCGCCGTCGCTATCGCCACTTGGTAGGCTCGACATTGAGCTCTAACCCATGTCCGGTCAGATTCAGAATGGGTTATCCGCCACCGGCGCTCTAGCCGTCTCAACGATTGTTTCATTGCCCTCAGATCCGTGGAAAACCATGGGGCTGTCCGGACTCCATGCAATCAGAGAGGGCGCTTTGGAGCCAAACAGTCAATAGCCCTGGTTAACTCCACATTCCAGCGGGCCACCAGGGAATCAGCTGAAAGGCCATCAACATGGGATAAAACATCCCCTACCACTCTCTGGAAACCATTTGGATCCATTAAGTGGCGGGGCGGACCATCTGAATCGGTCCCGCCTCCCTGCAGAGGGGAAGGGTCACGGAGAAGTCCAGTTGCACCAGGAAGTGATCTGACCATGGCACTTCTTTGGTTTCGCTTTTACTTAGTGTCAGATCACCAACATCCATAGAGGTGAACACCAGGTCTAAGGCATGCCCGTGGCTATGAGTTGGGCCAGACTTATTCAGGGACAGCCCCATGGAGGCCATGCTTTCCACGAAGTCCCGAGCGGCCCCTTGTAAGGTCGTGTCGGCATGGATGTTAAAATCCCCTAGGACAACCAAACTAGGTGTCTCCAGGAGGACATCCGCCACGACCTGAAGCAGCTCGGACAGGGAATCCTTGGTGCAGCTGTCCTTTGTCAACAACAAATTGTCACTTTTTTGTGTGTTGAATATATGTTATATGGTAATTTATGGACCTAATAGGTCCATACACAACACAACACACTGTTCCTGTATGTAGGTTTTATTTTATTTGTTTTTTATCTTATATTTTGGAAATGTACATCCAGTTTTTTTCTTTAAAAAATTTTTGGGGGACCCCAAGAGAGTGGGGCCCAGAGCTATAGCTTGTTTAGTTTATACGTAAATCCAGCACTGCCTTCATTAGAGGATTTTAAACAAAGGGTGATTGCCATCTGTCATGGACATATGAGCCAACTCCTAGGGGCTGAGGTCCCTTCGCCCCCCAAGAAAATATTTGAGGGGGCTGTCCCCCAAGTTAATGGGCTTTGCCATTCAAATGGTGTGTATATGCCGTATCATGTGATCAGTTATATGGGGCGGGTCTTACCTGCCCCCCCCCCCATAATATTCAAGTTGGCACCCCTGGTTATGGATGTTTTAGTCAAGATTACTGTATTGCAAGGGGTTGGATGACTGGGTTTCTTCCAACTCTACAATTCTATGTTTCTATTAAAATGTGAAAAAATCATTCATAATAAAGCTTGGGCTACTATCACTCCGTGCACATAGAGGCTAGATGTACAGTAGCACCATAACATTATTAATTATGCAAATGTGTATGTGTGTATGTTTTAAAAATACTATACAGTGCTACCTCTGGTTATGAACTTACAGTCATACCTCATGTTACGTTTGCTTCATGTTACGTTCTTTCAGGTTACATCCCATAGCGACCCAGAAGTACCGGAAGGTGTTACTTCCAGGTTTCGCCACTTGCGCATTTTGCAGGTGCGCCGCTGTGGGTTGCGCTCTTTTCATGTTGCGAATGGGCCTCCGGAACGGATCCCATTCACAACCAGAGGTACCACTGTAATTCGTTCCGGACGTCCGTTCTTAAGCTGAAACCATTCTTATCCTGAGATGCGCTTTCGCTAAAGAGGTTTCCCGCTGCACTCACGCCTCTGGTGCATGATTTCCGTTAGCATCCTGGGGCAAAGTTCGCAACCAGGAGCAGCTACTTCCGTGTTAGTGGAGTTCATAACCTGAAGCTTTCATAACAAGAAGCGTTTGTAACCAGAGGTACCACTGTATAGCAGGCATGTGAAAGTCTAGTTCAGGATGAGGAGAGGGTGGGGTGTTTAATCTCTTACCCTTTGATCTTTTATCGTTGCCTGAGGACACTACTTGGTGGGAGGAAGCAGTACCAGGGAGGAGTGTTTGCTCATCCTTGGCTGAGTCATCTCTGGAAGGATGTAGGAACTTGGGTGAGAGTCAGATTACAGTTCCAAACTGTATGCTTGACAAGTGGCAATTTTTATTGGTGGTTGCCTCATCTCCTTAATGTTATTTGTCCCCTGGGCTTCAGATGACCCACCTCAGGATTATTTTATAATATGTTATGACATTTATATCCCACCTTTCCTCCAGGACGAAAGGGAGAAACATGCTAAGAAGAAGGCATGCTTGGCAAACCCTCACCGTGATCAACTCCTGCCTAGAAACCAATGTCCCCATTGTGGAAGGACGTGTGGATCCAGAATTGGCCTCCACAGTCACTTACGGACTCACTGCTAAAACCGTGTTTATGGAAGACAATCTTACTCAGCTACGAGTGATCACCAAAGAAGAAGAAGATATTTCATCCTCGCAACAAGCATGTGAGGTAAGTGAGAACCTGTGACTCACTCCAAGGCAGGCATAGGCAAACTCGGCCCTCCAGATGTTTTGGGGCTATAACTCCCATGATCCCTAGCTACCAGGACCAGTGGTCAGGGATGATGGGAATTGTAGTCCCAAAACATCTGGAGGGCCGAGTTTGCCTATGCCTGTTCCAAGGTCACCCACTGAGTTTCATGGCTGATTAGGGGATTTGAGCCCTGGTCTCTCAGGGCCTAGTTTGTCAGAGATTTTCCGAGGCACCGTTTCCTGTGCAAATGTCTTGCCTGCCTCTGAGAAGCTATGAAGAGCTCCTCCTCCAGAGCTGAGCCTGACAATCGGAGATCTGCTGCACCTCACCAGTTTTGATCATGATTAGGGGATCGTATCCAACTCAAGTACGTTGACAGAGTAGAGACTTGTGGTGCAAATCCTAAACATTGTACTCAGAAATAACTCCTATTGTATTCAATGAGCTCAATTACTTCCAGGCATGTGAGATTAGGACTGCAGCCTAGGAGGCCCTGACTACTTATTCATGTACCACCAGGCACAACATCCTCCAGACATTGCTGAACTACAACTCCCATCTTCCCTGACCATGCTCACTCTGGATAGGGCTGATGAGAATTAGGAGCACAACAACATGGAGAGGGCAACCAGTCCCCCACCCTTGATGTACACAGCACTGCCCAAGGTCCCTGCTCCAAAGGCAATACAATAGGGAGAGAGACAACCAAGGGATGGGTGGTGCAATGGATGAGCGAGATTTTTTCTTCTTCTGAAACTGGGCCCCCTAACTTTGCAACGGAAGCTGGTTTCTTTCCCCTTTCTGTTTTTTGTTGTTGTTTGTTATTAAAGACTATAGGCAGCATTGAGTAATCAAAAGACATATTAGCAGAGGTGTTGAAGGTTGGTCAAGTTTGATGAGGCGCCATTTCCTGTGCAACCTTCTCTCTGCTGCCTCTGACAAGCTGTCAAGAGCTGCTTCCCCCTCAGAGTTGAGCCTGACGATCAGAGGGCTGCTCTGCCTCATGCGTTTTGATCATGAACAAGGGATCACATCCAACTCGGGTACATTGCCAGGTGGAAAATGCGCCTTGCTACTTTAACTTTCGACCGAGGGAGAATCAAGGAAGACACAAGCCCAAATTCCCGCTGCAAGGTAAATAACGGCTTACCTGTACAAATTGGGAGTTTTCTAAGTTGTTAAGGAAAGCAACTGTGGGGATCTCGCATGTCACAGACATTGTAGGGAGTGTTCAAGTGACCAGTCTTCACTACTTGGTTTCCGTATTAATGTGACTAAGGTACACCCTTCCCCATTTTTCTGTCATGTGTTCAAATGTGTGTTAAATATTGAGTGCTTTCTGTTTTTGACATCCTTCTTCCAAGTGGCAAGTCTTCTTCTAGAGTTGGAAGCACATGACTTACCCCCAAAGAATACTGGGGACTGTAGTCTATACCCCACAGAGCTACAATTCCCAGCGCCTTTAACAAACTACAGTTCACAGGATTCCTTGGGGGAAGGCATGTGCTGGAAATGTGCTTTAACTACATGGTGGGTACGCAGCCGTAATCCATCAAACCTCTGGGAGAAGTGAATTTTTACCTGGCACTGGAAAGATGGTAAGATGAGAGTACAGTGGTACCTCGGGTTAAGTACTTAATTCATTCCGGAGGTCCGTACTTAACCTGAAACTGTTCTTAACCTGAAGCACCACTTTAGCTAATGGGGCCTCCTGCTGCTGCTGCTGCACCGCCAGAGCACGATTTCTGTTCTCATCCTGAAGCAAAGTTCTTAACCTGAAGCACTATTTCTGAGTTAGTGGAGTCTGTAACCAGAAGCGTATGTAACCTGAAGCATATGTAACCCAAGGTACCACTGTACGTGTTACAAAAGATTTGCCCTTTTTTGGTCTCTTGGTGCATAATGTGCAGCTTCACATACCTGTGATGTGGCCTTATCGCTCCTTGCATTTCACAGACGGTGAGCTGTCACCATCAGCCACCAAGGACTGAGGGAGAGGAAGAGAAAGACACACTACAGCAGCATTCATACCTCTCGGCTAAGTTAAACAATGGTCACACCATACATTTAAAGCACTCTTACACCCCTTGACCGTCATGAAGAACCTTGGGAAAGGTAGTTTGGCAAGGGTGCTGACCCTACAGAGTTACAAACCTCTGCACACTTAACAAACAACCATTCCCAGGATTCTCCATGACTGCTAAAGTGGTAAAGGAATGTGGTGTGGATAGGACCAATGTATTTTGGGTAGAAAGACATGGGGCAGAGGCAGATATAGGGGAACGTGACCAGTTTGGCCACATTGGGTGGGGAGCCTTGGGGGGTGGTGGCGCAGGGGGCTCAGCAACTATTATGTAGAATGGAAGGTGAGGTAGGGGCACGCTGAATTTTGGCGCCTCACAGGGCACCGCTAAAATTGGAGACCCCAAAGTCCACTGTGGCATGGGGAGATGCAGTTTTAGTCAGGAGAGACCCTCAATCTGCCATAAAGTCGAGTTTGGCAGTCCCTGCCTCTGCAGTAATCTCATTTTACAGCTATAAAATCACAGGCTTGGAGGAAACTGGAAAGCACACACAAAACCCCCTGTTTAGTTCAACCACTAACTTATTACAATATCTTTGTCATCTTGAGCTTCTTGGAGTGAAGATGGAATACAAATTTAGATAGGAAAAATATATGTTTTATTATTTAAAACATATATTGGTGCCAGTGTGGTGTAGTGGTTAAGAGCGGTAGTCTCGTAATCTGGGGAACCGGGTTTGTGTCTCCGCTCCTCCACATGCAGCTGCTGGGTGACCTTGGGCCAGTCACACTTCTTTGAAGTCTCTCAGCCCCACTCACCTCACAGAGTGTTTGTTGTGGGGGAGGAAGGGAAAGGAGAATGTTAGCCGCTTTGAGACTCCTTAAAGGGAGTGAAAGGCGGGATATCAAATCCAACTCTTCTTCTTTATTTATTAGACATATATACAGTGATACCTTGGGTTACATAGGCTTCAGGTTACATACGCTTCAGGTTACAGACTCCGCTAACCCAGAAATAGTACCTCGGGTTAAGAACTTTGCTTCAGGATAAGAACAGAAATCATGCAGCAGCAGTGCAGCGGCAGCAGGAGACCCCATTAGCTAAAGTGGTGCTTCAGGTTAAGAACAGTTTCAGGTTAAGAACAGACCTCCGGAACGAATTAAGTACTTAACCCGAGGTACCACTGTATTAACAATACTTAATTGCCAACACCTCCCTATTTCCTTTTAGAAGACTCTGTGGTTGGGTTGTGATGCACGCACGCGATATGACGGATTGACACATATGAGAATTGGAAAATAATTTGCCCCCTGACGAAACTGACTAGACTGTGAGGGTTTTGCTATTTCCTGTGTAACCTGCATTAGTTCTGTCATTTCAGTTATCTGTTTTAACAGGTGTAGGCGCGTGTCCACATGAGTAGGCTAGCAATTATGGATGTATTATTTTCTGTATGTTCAAAAAACAATAATAAGGTGTCACGGTGCTGTCAGTGGCTTCCGGCCGGTTGCCCAGGAAAATATAAAGACAAGGAAAAGTTTCTTACAGTCCTTTCTTTTTTCCGGGTGTGCAATTAATCGTGTTTTAGTTTTAGCCACAGCTAACAGTGAGATGAATGATGTAGGTTTTAGTGGAATCTGAACAGTAGCAAAATGATTGCACAACGCTGATTGCAACAACGCAGGATGGAATGGAAACTGTTGCCTCCTTACACCCACCAGTCTCTTGCCCTGCCAGACTGCCTGTTCCCTGAGATCTGCTAAGGAGTGTCTTTTCTGTGTCTCCTCTGTGATCAAAGCATGGCTGGTTGAAGCATGAAAGAGGACTTTTTTCTGTATCTGTCTAATTTGGGAACCATCTTTTCTCAAGAGATGCATTCCCCCACAACACTATTTTTACCACACATTTATCTTTTTTTTATTATGACATTTGAATGTGCTAGGATTGTCTACAGACTCTAAGATTCATGCACACACAAACATCTGATCTATTTATGAGTCATTCTGTACTCTCACCTTTTAGTCTGTGTTTTGATCTCCTTATGAGTCAATGTATAGAAAGAAGTTCTCTGTTTTTTTCAACAGTTCACTGTTTTTAAAAATTATTTCTACTTTTTGCTGCTTGCTACCTCCATGTGTGGTGGAGATTGCCCTATGCCAGAGTTGAAGTGAGAGTCAACTGCCATTTATTTTGACCAGTATGTGGAATATCAGAGCAGAGTCATCTTGTTCAGGCAAGAAAATGTTTTGGGTCAGCAATATCAAAAGCATTGTGTTGCTTTTGATATTGCTGACTTATATTTTGCAACACAGGGGTTGGTTTGTTTACTCAAGAAAATGTATTGGGCTGGCTGGCCACTTGCAGGAAGCTTATCTGACAATAAATCTGTCTGGGGTGATAATATATTGCTGCTTTTAATTGCCTGTTCCTATGTAAGTTCACAGGAAGTGGTTAAGATCAGTCCTGTGTTGGCCAAGTCATCTTTCAACTCATCTTTGCTTACAATCCCATTTAATCACACCAGCAACAATTCCTATATCCACTGATTCCCCAGGAAATATCTCTGTCTCTCGATCAGTAGTTTTAGCACCTTATAAGCAGGGCAATAATGTTTCTGGGAGCCGTGGGTCTGTTCCATATGATAGCATATTACTTCCCCCAAAGAATCATGGGCACTTTAGTTCACCTCCTTGACAAAACACAGTTCCCAGGATTCACAACCCTAGTTTTCTTTCAAATGTATTCTGCCATGAAAGCCATACTTTAAGACTATGTGGTTCCTTCTTGGCAGCACTGTCACTGAACCATGATTCCAGGGGGCAGTAATGATCTTCAGCCACACTGGCTGGGGATGGTGGGAGCTGGAGTCCAATGACAACTTGGAGGGGCTTAAATTCCCCATCCCTGTCTTACATAAATCTATGGTGTGACTAGATTAACAACAACAACAACAACAATTTATTATTTATTATTTATACCCCACCCATCTGGCTGAGTTTCCCCAGCCACTCTGGGTGGCTCCCAATCGAGTGTTAAAAACAATACAGCATTAAATATTAAAAACTTCCCTAAACAGGGCTGCCTTCAGATGTCTTTTAAAAATAGTATATCTGCTTATTTCCTTGACATCTGATGGGAGGGCATTCCACAGGGCACTAGGGCTTTTCCAAAAGTGAAAATGTGGGCAAAGTTGTTGACCTTTATTGTTGATGCCATTCCAGGATATCTGGAGCCCTATCTAGAGCTCATTTTTGGCAGTTTCTGATGTAGGTTTAGAAATGGATCAGAATGTGGGACTATCATTCATTCAGGGGCATTGTTAGGGAGCAGCTCAGAGGGCCCAAGCCCTGGTTAGAATCATAGAATTGTAGAGTTGGAAGGGACCCCGAGGGTCATCTAGCCCAACCCCCTGCAATGTGAAATCTCAGCTAAACTATCCATAGCAGATGGCCATCCAACCTCTACCTAAAAACCTCAAATACAATAACGTAGATCTAGAAAGGGGCAACTGAAATGATCAAGGGGTAGGGCTGGAGCAATTCCTCAGTGCAGAAAGATTACACATTTTCAGTTTTTTAGTTAGAAAGGGGATGAGCAAGGCTCATGAGCCAGTGTGGTGTAGTGGTTAAGAGCGGTGGACTCGTAATCTGGTGAACCGGGTTCGCGTCTCCGCTCCTCCACATGCAGCTGCTGGGTGACCTTGGGCCAGTCACACTTCTTTGAAGTCTCTCAGCCCCACTCACCTCACAGAGTGTTTGTTGTGGAGGAGGAAGGGAAAGGAGATTGTTAGCCGCTTTGAGACTCCTTTGGGTAGTGATAAAGCGGGATATCCAAACTCCTCCTCCTCCTCCTCTTCTTCTTCGTCTTCATAATTTTGAGAGAGCACAAGCGAGGCACTCCCACACAGGGATCCCCCCCCTTTCTGCTACTTGGGGTTTCTGGGCCCCAGAGCCCAGTCTTGCCTTGCCCCCATGTGCCCGTCACCCTGGTCTGGCCAGAGTGGGAGCAATGCTCCTACTAAGAGCCAGATCAGCCAGCCAGACTCCCCCCCCCCCGTGTGTGGGCAGTCAGGTAGGTGGCACAGTGCAGCCCCATGAACCCTCTGTGCCTGTATGTCAGTGAGGGTTGGCTTGGTGCAGCAGTTTTTGTTTACCCTCAATGCCCAGCTCCTGGTCCGACATATTGCGTGTGCACTCACACCCTAGGCACCAGTGAAAGATGCAATACAGCTGTTATTGGGCACTGTGGGAAGCAGGATGGATAGGCCTTTGTTCAGATGCCCTCATACTAAGCTCATTCCCCTATCGCTGGCTCTTGTAGATGACCGGCTCAGACAAGCTCGACGGCATCGCTTCATCATTGGGTCTGGATGTGTTGCAATCCTCATTCTAGTGGGAGCCGTGATAGGGCTTGGCTTTTGGGGTAAGTACCTTAAGGCCTAAAATTACCCATATGCCCACAAACTGTACTTAATGGAGCACCACAAATTGTCCTTTGTAGAGTGAGGCTCTACAGTGGTACCTCGGGTTAAGAACTTAATTCGTTCTGGAGGTCTGTTCTTAAGCTGAAACTGTACTTAACCTGAGGTACCACTTTAGCTAATGGGGCCTCCCGCCGCCGCCGCACGATTTCTGTTCTCATCCTGAAGCAAAGTTCTTAACCTGAGGTACTATTTCTGGGTTAGCAGAGTCTGTAACCTGAAGCATCTGTAACCTGAGGTACCACTGTATATCCACTCGGAGCAGGGGTAGGGAAACACCAGAGCCACTCTGGGAAACCACACACACCTTTCTCGGACTTGACATCATATACCATGCCAGGGAGGGAAAAGTTCAAGTTGCAATCTTCAAAGCTGTAGCTAAAAGGAACAGTGTCTGCTCCCTATCTGTCATTTGCATCAAAAAGCCAGCACTTTGAACTTGCCACTTTTTGGCAACAGAAAACGGCAAGAGTCAAAAACTGCCAACTGTACTCTTTTTTAACACCTCCGAATGGAAGGTTGGCAGTTTGAATCCCCTCGATGGGGTGAGCTCCCGTTGCTCTGTCCCAGCTCCTGCCAACCTAGCAGTTCGAAAACACACCGGTGCAAGTAGATAAATAGGTACCGCTGAGATGGGAAGTTAAATGGGATTTCCATGCGCTCTGGTTTCCATCATGGTGTTCTGTTATGCCAGAAGCGGTTTAGTCATGCTGGCCACATGAGAGAGAGAGATAGAGATAGAGAGAGAGGACCCTTCATGTGTCAATTCTGCACATGACTCTGTTTGCAAGACAATGCCTCCGTCTGGACATAGCTTCCTGATCCAGCATCAGGAGAGTTGAGAACACACAGCACAAGACTAACCATGTCTACTCAGGAGTCCTATTAAATTCATTGAGGCTTACTCCAAGGTAAGTGGAGTTACCTTCTTACCTGGAAGTAAGCCCCCCATGGGACACACTTCTGAGTAGACATATATAGGATTGAACTGTAACCTTACCAATTTGAATAAAGGGGGTTGTTTTCCTAGGCGTTATCTCCCACCCACCCTCATATGTCTGTCACTGCACAGAAATTTTGCAGTTTGGCCTGGTCTAATTGTGACCAATTTGAGATGTGTGGTGAATGGGACTCGAGAATAAAACTGCTGCCCTGTACGCCGCAGCATGAGTCACCTGGCTGGCACTGCGGGCGGCACTAGAGTGAAAATGGTGCCCCGTGCGACTTACGAGTAAAATTGCTTTTTTAAAAAATGCCCCCCCCCCAAATTGCGACTGGACATTCTGCTGTGGCGTCTGCAACTTATGCAGTTGTGGAAATGACTGGTTCAGAAAACAAGCAGCAAATTTCATTCATGAGGAAATTGGGGAAATTGTTCTTAAGGGCCTCAGAAAGAAAGCCTTGCATTTCTTTTTATATGATAAACATGCCCCTTGGTTTGTTTTTTTAAGCGTCAAAACTTATCTGACCAAGAAAGGGAAAGATAATGTGTTAGACAGCACGATCATCACCGTCATTGTCAGCTCATTGGTCCTAAAATAGTCAAACCACAAGAATGTGCAGGGGAAAAATCTCTTGTAGAAGTGCCAAGTGTGTTTGGTTATGAAACCAAAGCACAGTGTGAAACACAGTCAAAGAGGTTTCAATTAGGCACCCAAATATAAATTATGGGAAATAGCCTCTTGTTCTTAAGCAAAATAGCTCGGCCTCTCAAAGCAAACCTTCACTATCTTATCACATTTGTTCAGATATGATACTTCAACTAGTTTCGTCTCCGTCCTCTTATGAATCTTCTGTTCTGCAAGCTACGGAACTACCAGGCAACCAGTAACCAAGTCTTCATGCATAAAAGCTTAAATTCATTGCATTTTTTTTTAAAAAAATGGAAAACATATTGTAGCAGGGAGTCCTTGGAACACCCCACAATCACTTAACCTTGACTCCCATAGGTTCAGGTCGGGGGTCACAAACAAGAGACTTCAGCCAGGAGATAGAAGCAAAACAGCGGTCTGTAGGCCTGATCTTTATTGTTGCAACAAGGCTCCCCACTAGTACAAAGATGAAGCAGCCAGAGGCCCCAAACAAGGGTTACATCAGTATTTTAAAGTTTCCCATAATACATCTTAGGATGCATCATCAAGACATCATAGATACGTCACAGAAAAAGGTGTGGTCTCAGGGAGAACCTGAGATCCAGACATGCCCCTGTCACTCAAATATAGTCTTTCATACTCTATTACAGTACAAAGGAAAGCATTTACAGTTCCCTGGTCCCTGAGTCAAATATACAAATACAAGTCAAATACACCCGTGGGCTTCATCGCACTGTGGGGTGGGTAGGCATTGTGATTGAGTTGGTTATTTGTCTGACACTCTTGGGGCAGGATATCACCCGTCAGGACTATGACCTGTACATCTTGGGGATTATGGTGTGCTCACTAACCTCTCCCTGGGTCCTAAATGCCGTTTGAAATGAGAAGATGGATACAAGTGATTTCTTATGAATTTCTAAAGTTTTCCCATTGAGCCAGTACACAGATACATTTATCAGTGAATTGCTACATATGGTATTGACACTTTCCCTGTTTTCCTTCTTTGGAGACCTGGGGCTCAGTGGGGAGTCCTGAGCCAAGCTTGCCTTGCAGATGCAATGCCTTTGCAGATATTTGGCGGTATTTTTCTCTTGACACTAGAGGATTTGGTTTTTCACAGGTGAAAAGGCGGGGAAATACCTCTTGTGTGGTATTTGTGTGAGTGAATGTGTTCGGTAATGTGCAGCAAGTCACACCATCAGTGAGTAACGGCTGCAGTTCTTAGTGACGGGTTGCTTTGATACTACAAGCCCTGGAGTGCTGCCGACATTCTAGGCACGGGTTCAAGAGGTTTTTCTTTTGCCCCTTGCTTCCCACGGAAAACACAGTACTTGGCGCAGAAAATTGCAATTGCTGTTTGTTACGATACAGTGGCACACAGTGGGTTTTCCCGGGAAAAGTGGTGGTGCAAAGGAAAACCTCTCAGGCTTGTGCCCAGAAAGCATGGGTGGCATAGACTGGTTGGGCGCAGAGGAATGATGGGAGGAACCAGCTGGGGAAGCAGTAAGGGGAAAAGGCTCAGAGCCCAGGGATTGGTAGTGGGACAACGATGATGAGTGGTTGGAGGGAGAAGAAGGAGGAGACTAGGAAGAGGAAGTGTCAAAAGCTGGAGAGGTAACAGGGCTTAGTGAGCAGGAGGAGCCTGTGGCAGAGAGGAGGCCAGAATAAGAGGTAGAAGCTGAATCAGGGGAGGAGGGAGGCCAAGAACCAGGAGAGATATGAAGAGGGCAGAGGAACAGGTAGTGTTATTACCATGGCTAAATTGATTACCCTCCCTGCCGCAGCAGATCCCAGAGTGGGCTACAAGTACTTAAAATCCAGGGTTAAAAACCATTAAAACAGACTGCAATTGCATGAATAGGGTGGACCCTGAAAACATCTCAGATCTTGAAGGTTAGGGTAAAGAGGAGCATCTTCAGCATGTGCTGAAAGCTTTACAAGAAGCCAGGTGTACCTCCCTGGGGGGGGAATTCTGCAACTTGGGCTCTGTAGGTGGAATTACCAAGAGGGCCCCCTCTGCTGATCTTAAATCTTCTTTTCTGCAGATCCTGCTTTTTCCTGTTCAGGGTGGGGAGCCTGTGTTGCCTGCCTTTGTTGATTGGTGGCTGGCGGCCCACCCCTCCTCCTTTCTGTGTACAGGAGGAAGAGAATGGAAGTTGTGGTGGCAGTGGCAAGACCCTGATAGAATACCAGGGAGCCACCATGGTAATTGCCCACAAGGCCCCGGAGGACATAGCGATACTGTGTGGGAACTGGGGGAATGCTGAGGGTTTGCTGGAGAGGATATATTATTAATATCCTTCCTAACTTGTGCTAGCAAGTTTCTTCACTTTGTTGTTGTTGTTTAGTCGTTCAATCGTGTCCGCCTCTTGGACCAGACCCCATGGACCAGAGCACGCCAGGCACTCCCGTCTTCCACTGCCTCCCGCAGTTTGGTCAGACTCATGCTGGTAGCTTCGAGAACACTGTCCAGCCATCTCGTCCTCTGTCGCCCCCTTCTCCTCGTGCCCTCCATCTTTCCCAACATCAGGGTCTTTTCCAGGGAGTCTTCTCTTCTCATGAGGTGGCCAAAGTATTGGAGCCTCAGCTTCAGGATCTGTCCTTCCAGTGAGCACTCAGGGCTAATTTCCTTCAGAATGGATAGGTTTGATCTTCTTGTAGTCCATGGGACTCTAAAGAGTCTCCTCCAGCACCATAATTCAAAAGCATCAATTCTTCGGCGATCAGCCTTCTTTATGGTCCAGCTCTCACTTCCATACATCACTACTGGGAAAACTATAGCTTTAACTATACGGTCCTTTGTCGGCAAGGTGATGTCTCTGCTTTTTAAGATGCTGTCCAGGTTTGTCATTGCTTTTCTCCCATTCACTTAGCAGAGTACATTCCCCTTCTTACACAATAGAAAGCTGGTTGCAAACTCTTCTGAATTTCTTAAGACAATAAGCAATTCATCTGGCTTGTCCAGACTGAGATATGTTCTAATATTCCTGGTAAGACCCCTTTTAAATCCCTCCTAAGAAATAAAGACACCGCAGTCTATTCATAAATAACAAAAAATAGTTTTACTTACGACCAGGCAGAGCACAGTGCAATCCCTGAAGGCAGGCTTCAGGCTTAAAGTTACAAACATGTACAAACAAGTTTACCCCCATATGGGAGATAACCTGGGAAACTGCTGTGGCAGCCAGCAGTACAGTCCAAGTGATGCAGGAAGCAGGCAGGACAAACATGAAGGTCGAAAAGAGGAAGGGAGCAGTGTGACTTGGCCTTTTACCAGGTCTGGAAAGGTCAGACCTACCTAGTAGTCACATGCAAGGAAGGAAGGTCAGGAGGAACAGAAAGTTTCAACTGACTGGACCAAACATTCCCTTACATGTCCACTCTAGCAAAACAAGGAATGTTATACTTGGCTGCTCCCAGTGGATTACATCCCACAGGAACGATGGGCAATTACAATGGCAGCCACCCTCCCCACAGTGCTCATTGAAGGAGCACCCAAAAAGGGATCCCAGGGCAACAGTGTCAGTATCAAGCCCATGGCAGCTGCTGATACTGGGTCTGCCTGTCCATGCTGGAGAGACTGGAACTGCAACACACACGACGCCAGAAATCTGGTTTAGGAAACATTGGAGGACAAAAGAGAAAACTCTCAAATGGAACAAGCCAACCCATATTTTTCTCGTAATTCCAGAGAAAAAGACTAGTGTGGCAGCAACTTTTCTGTATTTCCAACAACACATTTTCTTTTCAAATAAATCTTAAGCATACCATTATCCTCATCTTGCTGATCGCCTAAATAGTCATGCCTTTAAAAGTTTTTCAGATGAAACAAGCTCTGGCGAAGGCACTAACCTGCCCAGGACCCAGCAATGGAACACAGCAGACCAGGACCACCCCAGGGCAGTGTCAGACTTTGCGGCAGTTTCTGTGCAAGCCACACGGCAATCACGTAGCAGGTAACACCTGAGCTTTCAGTAGCCTTTGGCTGATAAACAGGAATGCAGGCACAGTGATGATCCAGCTAAAGTCAAAGGCTTGCAGATCCCATTGATTCCAATGAAAAGGTTGCAAAACATGTCCATAACAAAAGAACTGGTTCAAGTAAACCAATATGAGCTTCTGCCTGGGGGCAGGTGGTGCTAGATCAGGGGTCGCCAACATGGTGCCCTCCAGATGTTTTGAAGCACAGCACCCATCAGCTCACATGGCCAATGGTCATGGATAATGGAAGTTGTAGTTTTCAACATCTGGCGGGCATCGGGTTGGCTATGCTAGCTGTGTAAAAAAAAAACCTCAGGACACAAGCCCATTGTACAATTTTGCATAAAATCTGCAGGTGCTAACATATGTAAAGATGCAGATTTAGGTATGCTTTCAGAGAGACAGCCATCTTGTAAGCACAGTAAATAGCAATATAGAAAACTGCCTTTGAAAGAGGGGGTGGAGGTTCATTGCCTAAGGGATGCCCTCTAACAGCACACCTGGCTTCGTGGTTTTTTCTTCTTCCAGAGAATTCAGATTGCAAGCTCTGCCCGGAAAACTGGCAGCGCCATGGAGACAAGTGCTACTGGATTTCCAGAGAGAAGGGAACCTGGAACAAGAGCCAGAATGATTGTGCAGCAAAAGACTCTCAACTCGCTGTGATACAAAAACAGGTGGAATTGGTAAGTCCTGACTAATAACTTTCTTTTGTTGGTGCATGTAGTCAGTGCTTTGTTTGTTGTGGTCGTAGTTACTGGTATGGCGTATGCTCACCTCCTTTTTTGCTGTGGCTGTGGATGGCATCCATTTTGTGCTGCCATCCACAGCCCATTCATCATGATACAAGTACCAACACCTCTTTATTTTTCTTTTTGTCGCAGTCAAGTTGGGTTTTCTGCTCTTTTATTTATTTGATTTCAGTCGCTTCCTGTGAAGCGCTTCAACGTGATTTCACCACACAATTAAAACTTATAAAAGACCAATTACATGTATAAAAAGAGTTTTAAATCAAGATAGATGCCGAGTGAGAAAAAATATCTCCACTTAGAAGATTTGTTGAAGGTAGAAAGTATCCCTCAGATGTCCTGAAGAACGTAGAGATGATGCCTTTCTAAGGCAGGCTTTCTCAAACTCGGCCCTCCAGATGTTTTTGGCCTACAACTCCCATGATCCCTAGCTAGCAGGACCAGTGGTCAGGGATGATGGGAATTGTAGTCTCAAAACATCTGGAGGGCCGAGTTTGAGGAAGCCTGCTCTAAGGTGTAATAGGAGGGACTTCCAAAGGGTCATTTCAAAGACTCTGTAAACTGAGGTAATTTTAGTCCCTGATGTCATATGGAATGGAATGCTTTGGCCCTGTAGCCAGTTGCATTTCTAGTGGGGCATTTTTTGGCCAGGGTGGGGTAGGGGAGGCACATAGCGGCAGCCAGTCCCTGCACTCTACTTACTGGTTGAGAGGATGTGAAGGCCAGGCCAGGGAAATGGAAAGACACCTTTTCTTCAGAGCACATGTTATCTTGTATATTGGGTTATGAAAAGGTCAAGCTATCAGACAATTTAGTACAGTGGTACCTCGGGTTAAGAACTTAATTCGTTCCGGAGGTCTGTACTTAACCTGAAACTGTTCTTAACCTGAAGCACCACTTTAGCGAATGGGGCCTCCTGCTGCTGCCGCACAGCCGGAGCATGATTTCTGTTCTCATCCTGAAGCAAAGCTCTTAACCCAAGGTACTATTTCTGGGTTAGCGGAGTCTGTAACCTGAAGCGTATGTAACCTGAAGCGTATGTAATTCACTGTATGAATACCAGGAATTAAACGACTGGATATTTTTGTGCTGCATGAGAAAAAAGGATGATAAGGATACAGTGAACAAGGGAATGCTGAAAGGTCTAAAACAAACAAAATAGCTTACGCTATAACTAAGAAGTTGAAAACCAGTGTGGAGCTTTTGTTTCCCCAAAATAATCATCTTTTAATATAGTATCACCACACCAATACAAAAAAAAAGTTTGAGAAAGAGTAAGTGCACATTACAAGACAGCCATAGTCAAGCCTTTAGGAGTGGTGCTGAGAATAATATGTACAACTTTCTTGTTGAAGTCAATGGGATCCAGTCCACAGCTTTGTAAAATGTTTACTGCGTAATAGACTTACACGCTTACAAAAATGCTTGAACGCTTTTTGACTGGTAGGCTCACAATACATCTTTTCTGAGAGAAAAGTAGGCCCCTTTCCCAAGGTTTTCAGGTTTTCCTAGAATTAGAGTAATGTGGATTATTAAGAGTCTCTGCAACTGAGAATGGAAAATGTTGACACAAAAACCTGCAGCGTCAGGAAGTTGGCAAAAGTCACAGCTGGGAAATTCCTTTGAAAGATATTTGTGTTGCTTCATTTTAAGAGAATCTTGGCTGCGGAGAATTCTTCTTTTGTCAGAGGGTTATTCAGAGGGAGAGAAGTTGGTTCCCATGCTCAAAAATAAAGTCTGATTAAAGCATGATGCAACCGCAGTGATTATTGTATCATTTCCAGAAAGTTTCCTGTTCATGTCAAGAAGACACATGACTGCTCTGCTTTTCCAAGAATATTGCAGAGGCCAGAGATTTCCCCCTCCCAAGGTGCCATCTCCAAGAAGTTCACACAAGCAACCAGGCTTTTAAAAAGCCTTCAGTTGTTGCTAGGAGGAGGCTTTTCTCTCCCAAGCCTAATTGCACCTGGGGAGGGGCAATTTTGGAATGACGGTCGTAGCTGGTAAGGGGTAAAGCAGCATGTGGTTCACAGCGTCACAATGGTGGCCCTGTCTTCCTATGAGAGGTCACTCCAAACAGCTGAGCAGAGTTGGGGATGCATGTTGTGAAATCTGCCATTCGTTCAGAAGCAGAGCCTAAATGTGAGGTCTATCTAACCTCAGAACCAGCTGCCTTAAAGGTCAATCTATGAATGCATATTTCTAGGGTTGCTATATTCAGAAGAGCAAAAAAGGAGGACACCTTTGCCTAAATACGGATCGCTGTGATGACTCTCATTTTGAACACCCCTAGTATATGTAGGCTCTAGAAGTTGTAATATATTGCTGGTAAAGGTAAAGGGACCCCTGACCATTAGGTCCAGTCATGGCTGACTCTGGGGTTGCGGCGCTCATCTCACTTTATTGGCCGAGGGAGCCGGCATACAGCTTCTGGGTCATGTGGCCAGCATGACTAAGCCGCTTCTGGAGAACCAGAGCAGCGCACGGAAACACCATTTACCTTCCCGCCAGAGCGGTACTTATTTATCTACTTGCACTTTGATGTGCTTTTGAACTGCTAGGTTGACAGGAGCTGGGACCGAGCAAGGGGAGCTCACCTGCCGACCTTCTGATAAGCAAGCCTTAGGCTCTGTGGTTTAGACCACAGCGCCACCTGCGTCCCTATATTGCTGGTAGCAATGCTCTTAACTTTAAAGGGCCTGCCAGAGTAGAGCTACGGGCACTGTAACCGCTGGCAAAGGAAGAGGAGTGAGGGGGGAGCGCACTGCCCCCGGCAGTACGATCCCGACGGGGTGCCATCGCGGCTGCCCCCCGCCTGCACTGGGTGCCATGCCCCCAGGACGCATGCCACGCCCCTGTGGGCGGTGCACCATGCCCCCAGGATGTGTGCCCCGCCTCTGAGACACGTGCCAGCCCCGCCCCGCCTGCTCTACTCCCCCCCCAGTGCCAGAGCATGAAGCTCTGCCACTGACTGTAACTAAAAATGCCCATGTGACCACAATGCTGGCCTACAGCCGCCGATCCTCACTGGCCCTGGGGAAGAGGGCGTGTGCATGCTGCGGAATGTTCCCGTTCCATTCATGAAAAATGGCGAGGGACGGGAGTGTGACACTTGGGGCTATTAAAATTGTTTTAATTTTTTTAAAAAATTCTTGGGTTACTGTAAACAAACAAATAAAACACCCGGACATTTGGGCAAATTTAAGAATTTACCCAGACAGAAATTTTAATCCTGAAAAATAGGGTATGTCTGGGAGAAAGAGGACATGTGTCAACCCTAGGACGTCCTTCTTGTATCCTTGACAGGATTTCATACGTCATAAAACTGATGGAGGGCAACTTCTGTGGATTGGAGTGACCACCATACCTCCTGCTCATGAATGGTCTTGGGTCGATGGCTCCCCACTAAATGACACACTGTGAGTATTTCCATCCTACAGTTTCATACTGGTTTTGGCGGGAAATGTGTGTGGTTCTTCTACTCCCAGTGTTATTCTGCACCTCCTTTACAGTTTTCTTCCATTTTACTGTACTGTTATCTACCCTTCGAGATCATTATCTGCTTCATGACACTTGGTTGTGCTGACTTATCTTTAAATATGCAGACATCAAAGGCTCAAACCATGATGAGAGCAGATCATTTATTCATTCTCTCTCTCTCTCTCTCTCTCTCTCTCTCTCTCTCTCTCTCTCTCATTTTCTTCTTTTTCTTTTCCTTCCTTCCTTCCTTCCTTCCTTCCTTCCTTCCTTCCTTCCTTCCTTTTCTGATTGCCATGGAAATGGGATGTTCTTGTTCTTGTTATATTGCTAATATCCTGGCTTGCTCATCTGTGGAATTCACAATACATGAATTCACAATACATGTAACGATTTCACTGTGTGGGGAGCCAATCAGTCAATTACACTCTCCAGTCAAATTGCGATGTCTTCCATACAAAAGACCAATAAAGAGGAGTAGAGCAACATCAAAAAAATGCCACATCAAGAGTGAGAAACAGATGCAAGAAAACACACATTACACAGTAAGCCACACATAAACCACCCATAAAGCAAACAAGAAAACTCCAGCAGGGGAAACCCCCTCCCCACTTCAACAGAAAGAAACAGGCACAGAAAAAAATCCAAGCATCAGAGTAAGCCATTCATATCTGCAGCACACCTGCACATCAGCATTGAGAGAGCCACTGTAGTGTAGTGGTTAGAATGTTGGACTGGGACCTGGGAGACCAGAGTTCAATCCCCTCTTGGCCATGAAGTAGTTCCCTGGGTGAATTTGGGCCAATCTCTGTCTGCCTCACAGGGTTATTGTGTGGGCAAGAACCATGTACACTAGGGTGATTCATAAAAAACTTTTTTGGGGGGGAAATGCTTACTCCAAAGGTCTTATCTTACCACACTAGGGATTATATAGCTATATCTGAAATTTCATGCATATAAGTTAATATCTTGACCCTCCTCCATGAAAATAGCTGTTTACTCAGCCATTTTCCCATGTTGTGAAGGCTGAAATTTCAATTCAGTGGAGCAGGGTCAAGATATTAACTGATATGCATGAAATTTCAGATATAGCTTATATAATCCCTAGTGTAGTAAGATAAGACCTTTGGAGCAGGCATTTTAAAAAATACATAAATTTATGAACCTCCCTAATATACACCACCTTGAGCTCCTTGAAGGAAAGGCAAGAAGTAATAATAATAATAATAATAATAATAATAATAATAATAATTAAAGAGAATGGAACTGATGTTCAATTCTAGAAGCATTGTTCATGATAGCTAAAAATGGACAGTGCACATCTGGAAACTCATCTTAGGAGTGTAAAGGGGGCAGGGAGAGATGCCATCCCTATTAAGGTGAAAAAGCAGCTTTGGCCTTCCTGTGACAAATGCTCTTTGCTTGACTTTCTCCTCTATTCTACAGATTGCAAGTCACAGGTCTTGCTGAAGCGAACAGCTGCGGGATGCTGAAGGGAAAGAGAGTTAATTCAGAAGCCTGCAGTGCCATAGCCAAGTGGATCTGTGAGACGGAAGTTCGTCTGGTGTAAATAATAACAAAGGAGGGAAAGAGAAGACGTGGGCCCATGCAAGAATGATGGCCAGATCCTGCGACGATTGTCCTGACACGTGCAGCCGAATCAAAGGGGGGAAAGATTGCTTTTGAGACTATGTTTGTTCTTTGTGAAAAGCGCTTCTATGTCAAAATCAGTGGGCCTCCTAAAACTTTGCAGAAGTGTCCCTGTTGGGTGTGATTCTTTCCCAGAAATGCTGGAGACAGTGTTGAAGTCCAGGACTGGCCACAGTGACTCACCCACTTAGCTTGGAAGAGGTGGAACATGGAAAGTGAGAATTTCCATACCCTAAGTTACATCTGAAATCCTTGGATACCCTTTGCAAAGTGGAAATAGTAATGTTAGTGCAGTGGTTTCTTGCTGGTCTGGGGGGTTCTTAGAAAATGCCAAAAGCTGCCCACCTTCTGGAGCTGGACAGACAAATTAATGGATCACGTAAAAGACACAGTCCCCCTTTAACTTCACCCTACCCCTTTTCTGACAGGTGTAGCTCATGTCATGAGGGAGTAATCCAATTAAATTCTCATTTACAACCAAATTAATACAGTGGTACCTCAGGTTAAGTACTTAATTCGTTCCGGAGGTCCGTTCTTAACCTGAAACTGTTCTTAACCTGAAACACCACTTTAGCTAATGGGGCCTCCTGCTGCTGCTGCGCCGCCAGAGCATTATTTCTGTTCTCATCCTGAAGCAAAGTTCTTAACCCGAGGTACTATTTCTGGGTTAGCGGAGTCTGTAACCTGAAGTGTATGTTACCTGAAGCGTATGTAACCTGAGGTACCACTGTATAAGTTGCACTTCCTTTTTCTCTTTTTTAAAATTTATTTTTATTAAAGATTTCTTTTTTAAAAAAATATATTAACAATTTCAACATAACAAATCATCAAAACAAATAATCTTAATTATTTCCCCCCTTTTTTCCTCCCCTCTTCCTAAAGAACCGTCCCCCCAAGTCTTCCCTCAGCTCATCTCTCTGATTTCTCAACTCATTCTCTGCATATTGTAAAATTGTACATATCCTTTTATTATCTAACTATTATATTAACCCTCAATAAATTTGTGTATGTTTATTCAAAACCTGCCAAGGAGTCCAGTTCATTTTGTTGTCTTTTTAAATAATTTGTAAAAAGTCCCCATTCTTCTTTAAAGTCACAGTTGTCCTTATCTCACAATTTGTATGTGGGTTTCGCCAGTCCTGCATAGTTCATCAATTTCTCTTGCCACTGTTCTTTTGTCGGGGGTTCCTCATTCTTCCATCCTTGCGCTATCAAGACTCTTGCTGCTGTTGTAGCATACATGAATAAATTCTTTATTCTCCTTGGCAGGTTATTAAAGATTTCCTAGTTTACAAAAGTATGTGCAACGTCGCTTTTCCCAGATGCATTTTCTACAGATCAGTTTCATTTCTTGTGAGACATTAGTGTTACAGTACATTAGGAAGAAAAGAGGGAAAGAGTTGGAGGGGCGGGATAAATTGTACTTTCTGAAACAATATGAGAACCAAAACAGGATGCCTTCAAAATTCACACTTAACCAAATTTTGTGATGCCATTATTCAGCCAAGCAGTGTTTACAAAAATGCACTTATTAGGGGTAAATGTGCATAGAAAATAATATACAGTGGTACCTTGGTACTTAAATGCCTTGGTTCCCAAATGCTGAAAACCCGGAAGTAAGTGTTCCAGTTTTCAAACATTTTTCAGAAGCTGAACGTCTGATGTGACTGTCAGATATTGTTTACTGCACCAATCAGAAGCTGCACCTTGGTTTTCAAACATTTCAGAAGTCAAACGGACTTCCAGAACAGATTAAGTTTGGCACTCTTGCTTTTGCTATTTATTTTGCGTTTTCCTTTTTGAGGTTTTTTCGGTTAATTTGTTTTTGTGACTGTGTGGAACCCAGTTCAGCTACTGGTTGATTGATTGTGTGACTGCAGAAATGGATAAAAGCCCCCCGTCCAAACAATGACTATCATCAGTGCAGGTAAGGGGAAAAAATTAATTTTAATTTTTATCATCTACAATACTGTCTTATTTATTTTATAGTACAGTACATTGCTTTCATTTTATGGATCAATGGTCTTGTTAGTTAGTAAAATTCATGTTAAATTGCTGTTTTAGGGGTTGCTTTTAAAAGTCTGGAATGGAATAATCCATTTTGCATTACTTTCTATGAGAAAACATACCTTGGTTTGGAACGCTTTGGTTTTGGAACGGACTTCTGGAACAGATTAAGTTTGAGAACCAAGGTACCACTTTACTAGAGAAAGTAACATGCAAAAATTATTCACATGAAGAGAAATTTCTTTCGGAAATGTGCACATTCGTTAAAACAGCATACAAAGATGTGTACAGTAGGATAAATTTGTATCAAAATGAAGAATTCTCATGAGGTTTTCTTTTTCTAAATGGTGAATTGCTGCAGAAATATGGAGAATGAATTTAAGATTGGAAAATTTAGAAATTAAGAGAATTGAAACTGACAGATCCTTGAATCCCCAGTCTTGACTTATACCTGATGTAGTCTCTGCCCCATATCTTTCTGCAAAGAGGCAGTGCAGGCTAGGGTGAATGGACATTGTTTTAGGACAGAAGTGGGCAACTTGTGGTCCTCCAGGTGAAGACACAGCTATCTTTCTCAGTGGGTAGAGCTTCAGACTCTTAATCTCATGGCCATAGATGTGAGTCCCACATTGGGCGAAAGATTCTTGCTTTGCAATGGGTTGGACTAGATGACTTTCATGGTTCCTTCCAACTCCTTGTACAGTGGTACCCCGGGTTAAGAACTTAATTCATTCTGGAGGTCTGTACTTAACCTGAAACTGTTCTTAACCTGAAGCACCACCTTAGCTAATGGGGCCTCCTGCTGCTGCCGCACCGCCAGAGCACGATTTCTGTTCTCATCCTGAAGCAAAGTTCTTATCCCGAGGTATTATTTCTGAGTTAGCGGAGTCTGTAACCTGAAGCGTATGTAACTTGAAGCGTATGTAACCCAAGTTACCACTGTATACTGAAGGTGTAAACAGGTGAATAAAACCTATTTCTTAAGGCTTTGACAGTTTCCACTGTGTCTCAATTCTCCAAAGGAACACAGACCTTGGGTGAGTGCCTGGAACACCCTGAGATCTTGTTATTGCGGGATGTGATACATAAGTAGCAGTCAAGTTGCTTGTTTCCCTAGTGTGGACATGCAGGGGAATGTTTGGTCCAGCCAGTCGAAAACTTCCTGTTACTTCCTGGCTGGGACATACTTCCTTTGCATGTGACTAGAGGTGGGCGTGACCTTACCTGTCCAGGTAACAAAAAGGCAAGGCATGCAGCACTCACTCTCTCTCTTTGACTTCCTCCATCGTTGGAGCAGCTTTTTAGCTAGAAATGCTCTGTTGGCTTTCAACCAATAGAGGACACTGGGATTATCCCCACATGGGATAGATAGAGCCACATGCATATACTTTGTAACTAAGTCTGCCTTCAGGGATCCAACTGTGAACTGATGATGTGAGTAAACTTCTTTTATTGACTTTAAATAAGATTGCCGTGTGTTTATTCTTTTAAGAGGGATATAAGGGAACGTAAGGTAAAGGTAAAGGGACCCCTGACCATTAGGTCCAGGCGTGACCGACTCTGGGGTTGCGGTGCTCATCTCGCTTTGTTGGCCAAGGGAGCTGGGTACAGCTTCCGGGTCATGTGGCCAGCATGACTAAGCCGCTTCTGGCAAACCAGAGCAGCGCATGGAAATGCCGGTTACCTTCCCACTGAAGCAGTACCTAATTATCAACTTGCACTTTGATGTGCTTTCGAACTGCTAGGTTGGCAGGAGCAGGGACCGAGCAACCGGAGCTCACCCCGTCACGGGGATTCGAACCTCTGACCTTCTGATTGGCAAGTCCTAGGTTCTGTGGTTTAACCCACAGTGCCACCTGCGTCCCTATAAGGGAACTTACTAGGAACCTAATACTGAGAGGCTTACAGAAGCCTGCAACCAGCTACCCACTATGCATTTAAAAGGGGAATGTAAAACTCTGCTAAGTAACAGAACTTGCTAGCGCAAGTTAGTAAGGATATTAATAAACAATATATCCTCTTCTGCCACCTGAACATTCCCACAGTTATCACTCGGCAGATAGTGGGTCTGGCACCCAACTTTTGTTACCTTATGTTCCTTTATGTTATGGACAGTCAGCCGTTAACAAAAAAAAGTCTGTTTTCAAACCTTATGCCTGGCATTCAGCACCACAGCCAAGGGAGATTCTGTGTGTAAAAGCTGTGAAATTTTGCCCCAGGCTAGATCAGTAGATTTCAGGGCTGTTCACAGCCTTAGAGAAGGGGAGAGTGGATTTAGCCTTGGGCTGTTTCTAAAGCACCCAGTGCAGTTGGCGGTGCTGACTCCAAACAGAATCCAGAGTCGGGAATGGGCTGCTCAAGACAGGGATCAAGCACTTTGCAATTTCACTCAGTCTTTCAAAATACACCAACACTCAAGCAGGGCACGTGTAGCAATATGCTAGCCATCTAAAAACAGTTTGCCCTGAACTGTGTGTCAATTCTAGTTTGAGAATAAAGCGAGTTAACGTATAAAGATGGTCAAGTTAATGACTGTTTCTCATGTTTGGCTTATCACTGAAGAAATAATGGGGCAGTTAGAATCATAGAACTGTAGATTCAGAAGCTTATTTACTCCAGCAAGGAGTTTCTTAAACCTATATACTGGCTTAATACAACCCTATTCCCATTTCAGTAAGTTTAGTTGTGCTGCATTGGGGTAAAGAAAATCAACTGTAGGGCCTGTTCCAACATCTCCAGAACCACCCAAAATGGGAATATTTGCCACAAAATTTCCTAGCATATAACAGACCATTCCTGTTAACACCATCCATCAAACTGTTGCACTGAGGGACAGTGGCGTAGCGTGGGGGGTGCAGGGGGGGCCGGCCGCACCGGGCGCAACATCTGGGGGTTAGGGTTAGGGGGCGCAAATCCACGGGTTAGGGGGCGCAAATTACTTGCCTTGCCCCGGGTGCTGACAACCCACGCTACGCCACTGCTGAGGGATGCAACACAATGCATTTCAAAGAAAGATATAACTCCATTTCAATTGATTGCTTATTTGTGACCTAAAAAACCCCCTAAACAGATGTTTTTGGTTTAATACATTTTAATAGCTGATAACGGTAAGGTGCTTACAAAAAGTGGAGTGTTAAGTACATAAAGTTTCACATTTCAGTTTCAGTTGTGGGGGGGGGGGGGTTATGCCCCTTCCCCGCAACTTCCGCGCTTGCAGGAGGACCGGGTCTGCGGCACATCCAGTGATGCTCCATGTTGCACCTTGAAACATATGCTTGGCCCTTATCACCCAGATATGCACAGTCGCCTCCATCGCCAAGTACCTCTAACCTGAAACACAAGGTCAACGAAGCCGGTGTCAAGTAAGGGCTGAGCATTTCTCCAACAGCAACTGATAAGAGAGGGACCCCTGACCATTAGGTCCAGACTTGACCGACTCTGGGGTTGTGGTGCTCATCTCGCTTTATTGGCCGACGGAGCCGGCGTACAGCTTCCGGGTCATATGGCCAGCATGACTAAGCCGCTTCTGGCGAACCAGAGCAGCGCACAGAAACGCCGTTTACTTTTCCACCGGAGCGGTACCTATTTATCTACTTGCACTTTGGGGCATGCTTTCGAACTGCAAGGTTGGCAGGAGCAGGGACTGAGCAACGGGAGCTCACCCCGTCACGGGGATTCGAACCGCCGACCTTCTGATCGGCAAGTCCTAGGCTCTGTGGTTTAACCCACAGCGCCACCTGCGTCCCCATGATCTGGGAGACTGGGAGGGGGGGGGTTCAAATCCTCACTCAACCATGAAGCTCACTGGGTGACCTTGGGCCAGTCACCATCTCTTAGCCCAAAGGTTTTCAAACTTGTTGAGTCCACACAGTGCCACCTTAAGCATATCTGGCGTTGTGATGCAAAGCTCCCTCAGGTGCCTTCCCCCACCCTGCTTCCCAGAGTTTTTTAGGGAGGAGGGCACTGCCGGAGGGGCTGGAGGAGGCGGCCAGTGACTGGAGGGCGGCTTCTCCAGCGGGGAAGAGGGGGCTGGACGCAGTGCCTCCTGGCTCAGCTGGCAGCTTCGTGCTGCGGTCAGGACCTTGCAGAGCCAGGCAGAGGCCTGGGCCAGGTAGATAATGTGCCCCCCCTTTTTTACCCTGGGGATAACTGAAGTCTTATAAATAAGTAAGAATATAAATAATTTTCAGAAAAGTTATGCTGTCAAATAATTTTATTTCAAGGATTGACCGTATCTGCATATAAAGACAAAATGGAAAATATAGATAAATATGCTGACCGAGGCCCCCTTTGGAATCGGAGGCCCGGGCCAAGTGGCCCATATGCCCCCCCCCCGTCTGGGCCTGGCTGCGGTGGTCACAGCAGATGGAGGCTCCAGGCATGGC